GAGAGAGAGAGAGAGAGAGAGAGAGAGAGAGAGAGAGAGAGAGAGAGAGAGAGAGGCCACCTAACTTCCCGACCACCTGACAGACAGACAGGCCCACAGAGAGAGAGAGAGAGAGAGAGAGAGAGAGAGAGAGAGAGAGAGAGCCTTGAAGGTATATCCAAGCACTACAGAATTCTTTTTTTTTTTTTTTTTTTTTTGTGGAACCAAACATCACAGGTCATCTTGGTATTATGATTAAAGAAAGGAGTCCTTAAAGAAATGCAACTACATTATCCTTTTCACCAAAATTGCAAATTGAATTTTCGAATCAACAAATCAAACCTCTAAGAGTGGATTTCAATCCCATCCACCTCTTTCTTTTTTTTTTCCCTCCTTTGGCCCTGGTGATTCAAAACTGTGTTGAGTTCGGAGACTTCATTTTCGAGTCGAACAAAAACAACAAAGCTTCTGAGCGGATGTGCTGAACAGTGATCCCTCTATAAAGACGACCACAGTCGTGTCACTCCACTATCATAGGTTCCCTGTTTTGGGTACAGAGTAACAAAAGGTTATGGGTTCGAAATTTGAATCCTCGCACCTATAACCAAATAGCCCACCACCAGACTCGTGGACTTCTGCGTTGCTCGCTCCCACGCCTTTCACACTTTCTCCTCGACCACATAGCCCACCGTCCGTCCTCGTTAATTGCCACACTCTGCTCTTCAACTACCATCCGTTCTTTTCACAGACAAACTTGCTCAGTCGCTCCCTCTTACGCACTCTACTCGTCAACTACCGGCCTTCCTCATTCTTCACCATAGACAGTGATAACCAGCGACTTACACATTGCAAAAAAAAAAAAAAAAAAAAAATCCCACCCCTTTCACACTTTCTCCTTGACCAGATAGCCCACCATCCATCCTCGTTGCTTGCCACACTCTCCTCTTCCACTACCATCCGTTCTTTTCACAGACAAACTTGCTCAGTCGCTCACACACTCTCCTCCTCGACTACCGGCCTTCCTCATTCTTCACCATAGACAGTGATAACCAGCCATCTACACATTGAAAAAAAAAAAAA